CGGGGACTCGGCCGGGCGCCCCTGCCCGCCGCGGTGCCCGCCGCCTGAAGGCTGCCCGGGGGCGCGGAGCCGGCGCGCGCGGGCGCAGGGAGGCGACTCGAGGCGCGATGTCGGTGCCGCTGCTCAAGATCGGGGTTGTGCTGAGCACCATGGCCATGATCACCAACTGGATGTCCCAGACGCTGCCCTCGCTGGTGGGCCTCAACACCACCAAGCTCTCTGCGGCCAGCGGCGGGACGCTCGACCGCAGCACCGGCGTAAGTCCCCGCCACCGCCCCGCGGGCCCTCCCGCCCGCTCCCCTCCGACCCAGACCCCGGGCTGGGCGGCGCTGAGCAGGGCGCAGGGCCAAGGGCACGGGCAAGCGTCCCCGGCGGCTACCCCCGTGGGCGGGGGTGACCCTGTCCCCGCGCTGCTCCGCCCTCGCCCCCCCCCCCCCGCCAGTGGCCTGCCCTGGTCCCCCAGGGGCACCACCTCCTTCTTTCGCCGGTTTTCCTCGGGAGGCAGGGGCCTCAGGGCCTCTGAGGCTTGGAGTCCCCTTCACCTAATAGGAAGTCCCTCACTGACAAGGTCAGGAAACTGAGGCAGGGGACTTGGGGACTTGTCCAAGGTCACTCAGCAGGTAAGGGGTGGGGATGCTGCTGCCCCACCCTGTCGGGGCTGGTCCAGCCAGGGCTCGAACTGAGCGCGCCCTACTTTGTGAAAGCCGGCCGGGACTGGACTGCCGGAGTGGACCAGCAGGCAGGCGAGCGAGCTGGTGGCTCCGAGTCCCCGAGGCTCCTCCTTTCCCTGTTCATCCCCACACCAGGTCCCTCAGGGTCCCGGAGCCCGAAGGTGCAGTGGCTGGGGCGGGGCCCTGGGAGGCACCTGCTGTGGAGCTGGCCGCCTCTCGGTCCTATCACCCCTCCGTCCTGCTTCCCAGGTGTCTTTTTCTTCCCTTGTCAAGGCCTTGGGGGAGGGGGAGAGTGGCCAGGGCGCCTGTGGGCAGGGCTGACTCAGACGGTGGCTGGAGCTGCGTGAGCCAGGCTAAGCTGAGCCAGGCTAAGCGGGAAGCACCCCTGAGCGGAGGAGGATGTGAGGAAGGGCCCCAGGCTGGCTCCTTCTCGGGGGGGACGGGGGCAGGAGGCTCCTCTCCCGCCTGATTTTGGCTGCCCAGGGCACAGTGCTCTGGGAGGAGGTCTCCACGTGACCCCAACCCAAGACCCTCGTCATGTTCACCCCACTGGCTGTTTCAAGGATGGCATCCCGCTTTGCTTTCGTAATGACTGCGCTCCTGCGTTTGGGTCCTCAGCTTCTGGGGTTGGCAATGAATGAAACAAATGTATAGCTACTATAGATTCTCCTCCCCATCCCCATGCTAAAAATAGCAGGGAGGTGACCTGAGGCGACAGGGCAGGCTTCGGGGGAGGGTCTGTGCTAGGGGAGTGTTTTTGGACAGTAGTGTCGTCCCTGTGTACCTGGTGCTCAGCACCTGAGCTGGGCTGCAAGGTGACACCAGCCAGGCACAGCCCTGGCTTCTCGGTGTTCCTTGGGCATACCCCAGGACCGAGGTTGGGTGTGACCTGGCCCCACATGGCACCAGAAACTTGGCGACAGCCGCCAAATGACTCGTGGGTAGCAGCCCTTGCAGAGTTGGAAGGCTGGTATCTCCTCGGGCAGTCTCTGCCAGGCTTCCCGCGGGACAGCAGCTGGGGCTCAGGGTCGTTGAGGCTCTGGGCTAGCGGGCCGCCGGATCCCGGCTGTTACCACGGGTGTCCATCCCCAAGCGTCAGGGACGGCTTTGCAAGGCTGCGCCAGCCTTATGGGGAGGAGATCTTGTTTCTGAATTACGTGCTGCTGTGAGTCAACCAGGCACTCGCGTTCCGGCCTGACTCCTCGCAGGTTTGCGGCCTCTCCCCCTCCCTGCTACCTGGCCTATCGATTAGGTCAGATGCTGGAACACCAAACATCCCTGGAATTGAAAAATCCCCTGAATTTGAACAAAATTTAGAGTCGTGCCTGTTTGACTTCCTTCCAGCCCCGGGGACCTCGATGGGATTCTCATCCGTCCCTGTGGTCAGAACGTGTCTTCGGACCGTTTTTGAACTTCTCTGCCGGGGTTGGACTTGGACAGCCCTCCCTGGTTGTCGTGCCCAATGCACTGCCTTATGGTCTCACTTCTCTCCCTCTCGCTCCCTCACCCCACCTGCCCCCCCAGGTGTTGCCCACCAACCCTGAAGAGAGCTGGCAGGTGTACAGCTCTGCCCAGGACAGTGAGGGCAGGTGTATCTGCACAGTGGTCGCCCCCCAGCAGACCATGTGTTCACGGGATGCCCGCACGAAACAGCTAAGGCAGCTACTGGAGAAGGTGAGTCTGTGCGAGGTGTGTGTGCATGTGTGTGTGTGTGCCCACACCAGCGCCAGGACTGGGCTAGCCTGCACGTCTGTCCCTCTTTCTCGGCGTGTCCGTAGTCAGAGTAGTTGTGAATGGATGAATGGGTGGATGGATCCCCCCACGGATGGTGCACGAGGAGACGAGTAGCCCCCCGGGAGAGCGCCCTGGGGGTCCCTTGGGTCTCGGCGGGTGGGCTCTTTCCGGCCCGCGAGCAGTTGGATCTGCCAATCGCAGGCCTTGTGGTGCAAGTGCACCGAGTCCGCCCCTTCGCAACCCAGCAGCGCCATGCGGTGCAAACACGTGCTTTAAACCGTCATTGCAAAAAATCTACACAAGAATCATGTCAACTTGGTGAGATTTTTCACCCCATTTCACCACCCACCTACGCACACGGACACCGCACGCCCATGTACACACCATGCACAAACCACCTACACCCCCACACACACCACACACACACAAACACACACACAGACCACACACACACATACCGGTAAGCCTTAAGTTTGCCATCGTTGAGGAGTACGGGGTGGGGTGGGGCCTGAGCCCTGAGGAAGCCATTCCCCACCCCTGGGGCTATGCTCCTTGCTGGGGAAGGTCATGGCCGCGCGTTTGGAGAGAGGACAGCACCTTGGTGCTAGGTCAGAACTGTTGAGTTTTGAGCCCAGCTCAACCACAACCCCTCATACAACTGCAGGCAAAGCAGGTCCTTGTCTTGGCCTCAGTTTCCCAAAGTGTGGAAAGAAGGCGTGGGTAAGCGATTCCCGGGTGCGCCCAGCTCTGTGCGGTCCCCGGGATGGGTGTGTGGGGGGAGAAGGGCCCGGAGGCCATGGGCGCAGCCTGGCCATGGTGCCTGGTCTACTGTAAGTGACAGTGTGGCCTTTGTTCTGCTGTTTCTAGCCCACCCAGTACTTCATTTAGAAAGAATTAAAGTAAACGCATTTAGCAGATGCCACAAACGTTCATTAACACCAAACTAGACTGTAGCCTAATTGGGCCTTTAATTATTCAGAATTGCAGAGGAAGGAGGTGGAGCTGGGAGGGGCCTCTGGGACCTGGGGGGGGGGCAGGCGGGGGCTGGGGGGGCAGGCTTCAGGCCCTGGAGCTCTTGGGGGAGGTGCCCTCTGGATTCCAGAAAGCTCTCAGAGCTCCTGGGAGCACAGGCCTTGGGGCCCTTCTTTCTGCCTCCATACTCCTCGGTGTCAGGGCTGAAAGGTTTAAAGCCCTATCTTATACCCCAGTGGGCACTGTGTTTTCAGAGGGCAGTGGGCACTGTGTTTTCAGAGGGCAGCAGCCTTTTGTTGTGAAAGAGGTCCTCGGGGCTTCCTGCGTTCAGACTGTCAGGCGGGGGGCAGGGCTGCTCCTGCCGCCTGGGGGTCTCCTCCTGCCTGTGGGGAGGGGGCACCAAGGTGCGCGGCTCTGGTGGTGTGTTCCCTCGGCGGGGCTGGGTTCCCAACCGAGCACGAGGTGCGGAGCTCTGTGCTTCTCCAGCCTGGCTGCATGTGGAGCTCCACCTGAGGGGCGTCCAGCGGTGCAGTCGTGGGCTGCACACCCAGGGGTCCGGCTGTCGTTGGCCTGGAGTCCCTGGGAGGGCCTGGAGGCCAGTACCTGACAGATGCCCCAGTGCCGACCTGCGGCCAGGGCTGAGGGCCACTGGAAACCCGCCGAGTGGAAAAGGCCTGTGGGGGCCGTGGGCTCTGTTCTCTTTGAAAAAGCCATCAGCCCTGACTTTGGAAGTAGGGGCTTTGGAGTCAGGCCAGGCTTTGGATCGTGGCTGACCGCTGTGCGGTGGTAGACAAGTGGCTTAACTTCTCTGAGCCTTGGTCTCCTTATGCGTAACATGGGACTTGAAATAGTGTTCACCTCCCAGGGTTTTAGAAAGATTGAATGGAGTAAGTGACAGGATGGGCTCAGCCTGGGGAGGACTGCATCGTTTGATAAAAGCTGTGTGACCTTGAGCTCGTCAGTTGGCTTCTCAGGGACACATCCTGCAGGAAAGAGGGTGGATGGCCCAGGGACAGGGGCGTAGACCGGGGTCTTCTCGAGGGAGAACACCCGCCTCGGCCCATTCATCTGCTTTATGACCGGCCGGAGTGGGGGTCCTCGCTCCAGGTGGGACAGACAGTAGGAGAGTCCGCATTTTGTTTTAAGGCAATGGAGTAGCTTGGAATCTTTAAAATTTGTTTTCTCAATCTTAAATTTAATCTTATTTAAAATTCGTGAAAAACATTCCTTGTCTGGCAAATGAGAAGCCCATCGCGCTGTGTGTGGCCCCCGTTGGAGGTCTGAGTCTGGAGCGAGTGTGGACCCAGCAGCTTCTGCTCAGCCCACGGAAGCCCCCGCTCTTGTGGGTTTTGCCAACACGTCAGGAACCCTACGTCTCCGGAGGGGAGAGGGATCTTGACTGGAGCGGCCATTTGTGCTCCTCCTCCCAGCATTGTGGCTGCAGGAGGCCCTCCGTGCATTAGGTGCGGGGGGGCCTTGTGCTGTGGTTGTAGGAGTGAATAAGCCCCAGGCCCCTCCCACCCCAAGTTTTCCGTCCAGCCAGGTGGTTGTGTGTATGTGTGGTTACTGCCGGGCAGGCATTGTGCCCGCGAGGTGATGCTGTTTCCAAGTAGTATGCAGCCGCTTCTGGCTTTGGAGCATCCTGGAAGCCTCCCTGGAGGAGGTGGTGTTTGGGCTGGGCTTTAAAATATGAAGAAAACCAAAACTCACAGCTCTTCTCAAAGGAAGTCCTGTGGTTATTCAGTGTGACAGAATCAGGTGAGGGGGGCAGGGAGAGAGAAAGTAATAGAGCAGATGTTTTCCAGTTCCCCATAGAAAGGATCAGAGAGTATCAGAGTCACCCACATGGTGTATTTTACAAACCTGAATTTTTAAACTGGATTTGTATGTTACTTTTAAATAACTAGCCATAAAATTCCAGGCATTTTAAAATGCTGCAATGAGTAATATCAGTTTTTCTCCTACCGAGAAGCCTTTCAGTTGTGCCCTTACTTTATTTTATTTGCGGGGGTGGAAGATGTACCGTAAGTGGTAGAAACCGCGCTGTCATATTCTCACTGACCGAGTCAGGCTATGTGTCATACCCAAATGATTCTGTTCCAAAAAAGGGAGAGGGTTTTCAAAGGCAGCAGGAAATCAGATGTGAAGATTTGCGGTGGTCGTGAAGGTCTTCCTCCCTGGTAATTGGATTCGATTCTGAGAAGTGGCCCAAACACCGCTGCACAATCCTGAGCTCCATCTGCCTCCCCACCGCCCCAAATGCACGTGCACAGATGCACCAGCCAGTTTCCCAGAAATAAAATGCCCTGGCAGGTGGCTGCACTGAAATGGTTTCCCTTTTAAGCGCTCTGGAATCCTGTTGAATATTAAAGTTCCATCTTGAGGCTAGACTCAATTCAGATCTGCCTGCAAAGATGTAGAACAGCGACTCTTCATTTGCTGGGTGATTGATTCCTGACTCTATGCACTGAACGTGTATGTTTACAGAGCAGTCATCTACCTATGATACCGAGAGGTGTGATGGATGGTGCGCGAGATGGGGACAAGGGTTGATGCAGAGTCAGGGAGAGCAGTTTCCTTGTAGCTTGGCTCCACGCTCCTGCCATCAACCTTCGCAACAGGATGCCTGTGAGATTGAGGGGGACAGAGAGTCTCCACCTGGGGTGGGGGAAGCCCAAAAGCACTATTCATCCTTGTTGGTATTTATGCCTGCCTAACCGGTTTCACCCTGCAGAGTCAAAGTCCCCTCCCCCTTGACCAAAAAAAAAAAAGTCACCCAAAGCCTTGTATGCCTGGAGTTGTGAGCTGGGGAGGACCCGAGGTTCCTGAACCCCTGATTTGCATCCCTGGCTATAAGAGAAAGCATTCTGGAACATGGCAGAGGAAATGTTTACCGAACCAATTTGCTCTGTTTGGGGAGTTCTTGGTCATAACACTCCCCGCTCCTGGTGATTAACTAGTAAATAATGCATGGGCTGCCTCTGGTTCCCAGTGTGTCGGCTGTGTGGGAAGGGTCACTGTCGTGTATTAGGAGGCAAATAAGATGGGCGGGCACCTGCTGCAGCTCCTTTCTTGAACCTGTTGCCTTTTTGACAGGTGCAAAACATGTCTCAATCCATAGAGGTCCTGGACAGGCGGACTCAGAGGGACTTGCAGTATGTGGAAAAAATGGAGAACCAGATGAAGGGACTGGAGTCCAAGTTCAAGCAGGTGGAGGAAAGCCATAAGCAACACCTGGCCAGGCAGTTCAAGGTATGCGTGCTCCTTCCTCCAAGTCGAGACTGGGTTTGGTTTCCCTTTGTGCTTTCCCCTTCCCCTCCAGAACTAGAAACTCGGGGCTGGGGAGGAGCCCAGCAGAAATTGCCCTTGGCCTTGCAAACGGCTGCCACCATCCTTGGAAATGGAGAGGCAGCCTGCCCTCGCCCTTGTTCGGCGAAAAACAGGGTCAAAGGGGTGGACAGAGCGGCGGTTTTCAGCCCCCATTAGCTTCCCAGGCCAGGGTCCCTGGACCTGGTTTCTCAAGCCAGGTCACAGATTAGCTGGGAAGGGACATGATTGATCCTTGTCATTCTGCAGCTGCTGTAGGTAAATCCCATTAGCCAAGGATTAGTTTAATTGATTAGAGCCATTTCTGAGCAGGGATCACTCGGGGCAATTTTTCACATCTGACCTAATTTAGCTATGACAGGGCACACTGTAGATTTGCAGGGAGGAAAGAGAGAGACACCAACATCTTTCTCACTTCCTGGTAAGTGTTTTTTTCTTTTTCTTTTTCTCTCTGGGTCACTCTGGACTTTAAAGCCAGAGTTTGACCTAAAATTATATATACATATATAGAAATATGTATATATACATGTATATACACCTCTAGTTTACTCAGCTTCAAAATGATTAAATTGAAAAATTATATGCACCTTAATTAAGGTACACGTGCATGTTAATTAGCAATCTAGCCCAGATATAAATGAACAGGTCAAATTACACAGCCCTGCTTGACTAGAAATTGCTGATGCTCTGTCTTCGTGTCCTTTTTATGCTAATGTTTTCCCTTGTTGTGCTCCCTGCATGAAGCAAGAAGTAATCCACTTTTAAAACCGATACATTATACAGACCAAACGGCAGGCTAACGAAGTAATAAATCTATATTATAAATAAAATAATAGCAGGCCTGATCTTATCGAGGAGCAATGAGCCGATTGCTCACTTTGGAGGCAGGTGACTGTGTTGTCCTTGCTTCTGACAACATCGTCGTGAATTATCTCGGAGAGAGAGATTTTTGACCCTCCTGACCAAAAAGAGTTTGTGTCTCTCCCTGAAAGGCCAGCATTCCCTTGCGCCATGCTAGAGTCCGATTCCTCTGAAGACGGGGGTGTCTTTAGCCGCCATGAGCTAGCTCATCTTTGCAAGCACTGTCCACACGGGCATCTCTCCCAGGTCCAAAATTTGGAGCAATATGGCCCCGGGGGAGGAAAAGCAACCCCTTGCCTTTGACCATGCTTTAATTGCATTAAGAATTTCACCAGGGATTGTGAGGGAATCTCTATAACTGTTCAAGCAGTTCGTTTAGACTAAATCTAGCAATGGAGTGTGATTTTTTTTTTTAAGTGACCATGAAAATATTTGTCTATTAATGGCTGTCTGTTTAAGGCAGGCTAGTGAGGTAGCTCTTCAACAGTATTTCGTTTTCTTGCTTGCAGGGCTAACTTAAAAGCGTTTTTTCAGTGCTGCAGTGACTGAAGAAGCAGTCCACTCCCATGTAACCATGACAGAGGGTCAGAGAGCTTTTGCACCATGCATTTTTACTATTATTTTCCAATACTTAGCACCATATCACTAAGGAACCTTGAACACAACCAGGATCCTCTTTTGCATGCGACTGTAGATGCATTCCATGGATAGTTTGAACCCTTGTCAATGCATTTTTTGAAAAAGAAAAAAAAAAAAGAAACTTTGTGTGTGTGATTAAAAGCATGTAACCTTAAGATGTTGCATTCTAAACTGACAATAAAGACCTTTCCCAAATATGTTGGTGTTCTGAAGACTGTTTAATATGCTCTCCTAACTCTTTTGGGCCAGAATACATAAACCTATAAATGAAACAGGAGTGTGCACATGCTCCCTCACCCGGGGAGAAGCCAGGCCAAGGCAGGGTGTTGCAAGTTTTTGCACGCAGAGCACTGAACCCAGCTTATTTTAACCTTGCAGGCGATAAAAGCGAAAATGGATGAACTTAGGCCTTTGATCCCTGTGTTGGAAGAGTACAAGGCCGATGCCAAATTGGTATTGCAATTTAAGGAGGAGGTCCAGAATCTGACGTCAGTGCTTAACGAGCTGCAAGAGGAAATTGGCGCCTATGACTACGATGAACTTCAGAGCAGAGTGTCCAATCTTGAAGAAAGGCTCCGTGCATGCATGCAAAAACTAGGTAGGACCAGAACCCTGCGGGGGCGTGGCGCTGCACCGCCCACCTCCGCTCTCCTACAGGCTTAGGGAGTGGTGCTGAAATGGACAGCGCCCGCCTGGCTTCAGGGAGACCGTGGCTGGATTAGGGCTTCTGGGTAGGGCTCCCGCTGGGGAGCATACAGGGGCAGCACTCGCCCGAGGGCACTGTGCAGAGGCCGGCTCGCAGACCCCGTGAAGTCGCACATCCGGAAAAGGGACTCGATGCCACATACCATCTGCAGAGTATGTGTGAGTGGGTGTGTCTGTGTGTGGAATGGGTGTGTTTAGGACACGAGTTTAATAGGGCTGGAAACATACATCTCATATTCTCTCCAGGTTGGGAACAAGGGCTGACGAAACTCCCGAGATAGCGAATCATGCGTGGTTTGAATAAAAGAGGAAAGAAAATTCGGTCACACCACCATAGAGGACTTGCCATTCACAGCGAGAAAAGGCGTCAGTCCGTCCTAACGGCCTGGATGGAGGGAGCCCCTGAGCCCACAGGCTCTTCAACCCCATTGTTGCTTTCTGGGGGGGCACCAGATCTGGGGGTCCCCCGCCATGGGGGCACCCCTCCGGATTCTGGCTTGTGCTTGATTCCCGCTCGCCTTATCAACTTCCCTACTGGGTGCTCTCACAAATCGTGACTTGCTGGCGTCTGAGCCCACTCTCTCCTGCCACGTTTCCAATTTCCAGTTCATTCTTAGGTTTTCGTGTGAAGAGTAGCTGGTCCTTCTCACCTACTGGTTTTTGACACCAAGGTTGTTCATGTTCATACTGTATCCTTAGTGTACTTTAGGGTAATTTTTAGTGTAATTTTGGTTTATGAAGAAGTTTCCCTTAGGTTTTATCTGATATTCTAACTTGATTCCCTCCCCACACCCCCCACACATACCCCAAATGCCTTCTGATAAACTTACAACATCCCAAAGTAGCAAATACTTTTAAAAATCCCTGGTGCCATGAGGCGAAAGGGAGAGAACATCCGAAAGGCAAGGAAGTAGTCAGCCAGCCCCCCTGTTTGAGCAGGTCCAAATGTCCAGATTATCTGGAACGCTGCTCTAGGCCTTCCAGCAAAGGCAAACACTCGAAAGTCCCCCCGAGCCTGGGGAGGACGGCAAGAGGCATTGGGAGTTTAATCTGGTTTAATGTGGGCACTTCTGCTGAGTCCCATGAGGGATTGTCTACTGCGTTTTTCCAGTGATGCACTTCATGGCGCCCCTGTCCTGGTGTGTCAGGGGCTGGGGGACCTGGGATGGCCCAGGAGGGGTCAGGGCTGGGCAGTCTCCACACCGCTTCCCGTTCTGACACTCCATGGGTCGGTGTGATATTTAGAATGTTCACAATTATGGGACCATATTTATGAATACGGGTTATATAATTATTTCCGTTGGGCACAGGTTGGGGTTTCTACCCAGCATTAGGCCACCACGCTGACCGCCTCTCTCTGCCCAGACCCTCCACCCAGGGGTCTCAGCCTCTAAAGAATGCAGGGGTGGGGGGGCTATTGGTTATTTTATTCCCCCCTACCCACCCCGGGATACAGACTGTGTATACCAGGGAGAAACTGAGATGGGGCCTCCACGCTTGCCCTGTAGGGGTTCAGGGAGCAAAGTGGAAATTCAGAGTGGAAAGTTACAAACGCTGAGAAGCCACAGGCCTCTCCCAGGGAGACACTGCCCCTCTTGGGATGAGCAGCCTTCCCATCGGCACCTGACCTATTTTTAGAAGCTGCGTTAATTTTCCTTTCAGCTTAGGATCTTGGGGCTTCCACACAGTTACCCTTGGGCCGCCGAGGTGGTTGATCTGGGAGTAAAGAGAGAGGATGACTCCCAGGGGCCGTGTGCTCTCCCGTCAGGGTGCAGCTGTGTGGTCTCGCCTCTGTGTTTCTTTCTTCAGAAACACCTTGACTTGTAGATAGACCCACTGAATCGGAGTCTGTGGGGGGCCCAGGGATCTGCATTTAACCAACGGCCGGGTGAGTCACATGAACACCAAAGGGTGATAGTCCTCGGTCTGCGGCAGGCTGTAGTTAGGTATCACCCTGTGGCTGTGTGACTTTCCCCAGGCACTGACTGTCTCCAGGGCCAGCCACCTGTTTATCTGTACAGTGAGGGTGTAGGAGTCCCCATGCCCTGAGATCACCGTGGGAGTCCAGGGACACCTCATATCATGGCTCACACTATGCCTGGCAGAGTCGGGGGCCGCAGGGCCGTCAGGTCAGCAGGCAAGTAGGAAGTGATAGGTAGGCAGGCAGACAGACACAGTTGGTAGGTAGATGAACAGACAGGTAGGTGGGTCGGTGTGGGGGTAGATAAATAGGCAGGTGACAGATTGAACATGGCCCCTCCCTCTCCCTAGGTTTCCATTCAAGCTCGGTAACTTAAGGACCACATTCCTATCCTGTGGCTGCTTGATATGGTTTTTATTTCAGCCTTGTAAACGGGTACCATCTTAGCAGCCTCTTTGCCTGCTTGGAGGTTCCGGGAGCATAGAGCAGAGGAGCCTGCCTCCTGCCTGTGGGGGCCCCCCGTTCCCTGACAGCTATGCCGGAGGCTAGGGCTCCTGCAGGACTTGGCCTCTCAGTAACCCCCCCACCCCGCCCCCTCAGCGCCTCGGCGCCTTCGTCTGAAGTCTCACTGTTGGTCCCTATTACCTTCCGGTATAGACACTACAGCCCCACCCCCCACCCCCCGCCCCCAACAACGTGCCCTCAATCAGGTCGCTCCTTGTGGCCACCTTCTCTTTAAGTCGACGTGGCTGGTAATTCCTGACCCCAACACGTACACAGAGAAAAACAAGGTTCCATTCGTTTTCTGTTTCTATTTGTAAAGATTGCTCTCTCAATGGGATTGTATGTTTTTCCCAGGGGCCCAGCCAGAAATGACTCTGAAACTCCATTTCTAAAACTGGAGGTGGGGCTCAGCATCTCTGGGGATCCTCTGCAAGAGAGGTGGCTTCTGACCGCTCCCCTGAGCTCCCCTTGTTCCCAGACGGGAGCGCCAGAGCTGCCCAGCGACCCTGTCCCCCAGGCTGGGGCCGGAGACTTCACGGTCACCCCTGGGGAGCCTACACAGTCAGATGACCCAGCAGCTAAAGCAACTGAGCCAGAGACTCGGGATCCAATACAGAATGCTCTCCATACATCAACGTGTCCTGAGCATCCTTTTAGCTTCAGGTCTCAATTTTCCTGACTGTAAAATGGGGGCAAGGGGGGGACTAGCTGAGTTTTAGGGCTTCCCCCAGTGGGAAGGAAGTGCCCAGACACCCAGAGCCAGGCATCGGAATCTCTGGGGGTCTTGTTCCACCGAGAACACACGTGAATGAAGCCCATGGGCTTCAGCGTCAGCGGCCCCACCAGCCCGGGCTCCACGTTGCTAATGGTCAGGGTGTAGACTTCTTTGCCAGTTTGGGATGTCAGGGCATGATGCTTTGCCTTGGCACCACATCCTGGGCTCTCTCTCCTGGGGGAGGCAAGTCTGAAGCCCTTCCTGTTCTCTAGCCCTTGAGATGCGGCAGGTTCAGGAAGGCAGAGGGATTGGCCCTGACCTGCTCTCAGGGGCCTGAAGGGGCAGGGGGAGGGAGTTGCTGGCAAGGGGGATGCCAAAAATAGCACGAGCGAGCGGGTTTTGCATTCAGTGGAGGCTTGAGAGCTAAGTCTGGGATGCCTCTGCCTGCAGGAGACCCCACGGGAAAGAAACCAACCCACAGCTGAACTGCTGCTCGTGTGTTGACCTGAGTGGGATCCTGGCAGGGCAGGCTTCCCTTTCTGGAGTCCTCCCAGGAGGTGCTCAGGATCGTGCCTGGTGAGAGGTCTCCCGGTGCCTGCCCTGCCCTGCCCATGCGGAGGGGAGATGAAGCACTCCCCCCTTGGTGCCACTCCCAGTCTCTGGCTCTGCTTTGTCCTCAGGTTCTTCCAGCTACGAGGACATGTGTCTGCCCAAGCTCCCAGCTTTGCAAACAGTTCCCAGTCCACGAGGGATAAAAGCTGGGACCAAGGGAGACCAAAAGCTGAGGGCCCAGCCTGCCCGCTGTGGGGCTCTCGGGTCCTTGCTCTGGTCTCTGGCCTGGTTCCTTGGTGGGCACGTCACCCTGGGCCTGCTCAGGGCTCCCTGTGGAGACTGTCCCAGCTGTTGTTCAGAAGTGGATTCCTTCTAGGAATAGCAAGAGGCAAATGATTTCATCTGCAGGGCATTGCTTTGTCCAGGCTCCTGGCTTTGCACGGTGTCCTCCCTCCTGACACCCGTCCTGGGCTCTGGAAGAGGGTGAGGGCGGCCAGGCCCTCCCAGCTGGGTGCTCTGGCCCTGGAGCTCCGCCTCCTTTGAGCTGCACCTGCGCAGGGGCGCTTTCCCAGCCTCCTCCCCTCCTTTACGCACATCCTGAGCCCTCGTGACAGAGAGGGACACTTTCCTGAACTGAATGTGCCAAGACTCCTCCATGAGGCTCTTCCATGGGGCTTTTTTAGATCCTGTCAGCTCCTGAGGTCTTGGCAGAACCAGTCTGGACAGAGAACCAAAAATAACTCCCTGACTCAAGCAGGGGGGGCAGCCTCCAGCCCGGTAGGCCCCGGAGACCTGAGGCTGCAGCCAGTATTTGGAAGAGCAGGGCACCCAGGCCAGCCAGACCCTTGGTGCTCTGATCCATGATTTTAAGACTCCCTTCAAGGGGCTGGGGACGCTGGTGCTCAGCCCTTGGAGCCGGGGAGCACCTGGGTGAGGGGGGGTTCAGACCTCAGCCCGGGGAGGGCAGGCTGTACTGCAGAGCATCCCCCTCCAGACCAGACCTGACCTGCAGCCTGTTTCCCACAGTGGCCGGCTCCCCTGCTCTGCTCCAGGCCCGAAGGCCCCCAGTGGGCAGGATGCAGTGGGGTGGTCTGAGGCAGCCCCGACCCTGACTTTTCTCCACATCCTTAATCTGAATCCAGAATCACGGTCATGCTGCTGCCTCCACTGAGCACTGCATCCACGTCAGGCACCCTTCTAGAAGCTCCCCACTGCTTCGGCCCCCGCAGCTGCCCTCTGGGCTTACGGAAAAGGCCAACTGTCTGTGCCACACTCGGAAGAGGGTGACCCTGCTTCACCTCCCGTCCCCTCTGCTGGGGCCCGTGGCGAAGGACATCGTGAGGGTTTTCTGAGAGATGAATCATTTTACCTCTGAGTACCTGAGAGATGATTCACTCACTCATTCATGGACAATTCCATGGGCAGAGCCTTGGGGAAACAGCAAGAGAGGACAACAAGCTTGTAGCCTGGGGCAGCAAGACCTGGACGCTGGGGTCCGAGGCCCCAGGACGTGTGTGGTCACTGGCATGAGTCAGTGAGGACAAGGTGGGCGGGGTTCCGAAGGCAAGGTCTCGGGAAGAGGCTTGGGTTTGGGCCAAGTCATAGAGGACAGGTGGGAGGGCGGGTGGAGGACGTGCCAGGTGCAGGATCAGCCAGAGCACAGGCATGGAGGTGGGAAGGGCCAGGCACCTGCGCCGAGCTGGGGCGCTGGCCCAGCATCTTCACCTGCTGGGTGTGATATGGAGGACAGACATCTGGTCTTCTTTGGGGAGGTGTCCAGCACGGGGGGCTGTGGCTGCGCAGTCTTGGCCAGAACCTCGGCTTGAGTCAGCATCACGCTACGCAGTGCCTGATCCCACGGTGTGCTATTGGATGGAAAACCCACGCACCCCCGGGCTCCCCAAGCCTTGACACCCTTGGGGGCGATGGCTCCTCCTTCCGGGCTGCCGGCAGGACCACTGTCCCCTGGCTCAGTGGTGGGGACGCTGTTGGTGGCTGGAGGTGGCCCCTGTCAACATCTCCTGATTCCCACCCAGTTCAGAGAAGCTGCTGTCTCCTGGGGGCAGCCCCTGGAGCCCCCAGGTCATAGGAACCAAGAAAGTGCAGGGGGACACCAGCCTTGAGTACCCCCTTTTTCTTCCAGTCCCTATAGATACTGGCGAACCTGGGACCTTCCTCTAGTCCCCCTTGTCCTCCCACAGATGGGGGGCGTGTGCATGGGGCCCAGCAAACGTGCTGGGATTCTCAGCAGGGACCTGGCCCACCTGCAGACCTGGCACCAGCCCCACGAGCAATGACTCCTGCCAGGAAGCCGCGGGCTGTGAGGGGACAGTATTTACGTGGGAGAGCACACGATTGCTCCTGAAAGTGGAACAGACAGGAAATCCAGAGAGGGGAAGGAATAGGCTGGTAGAAATAGGTGTGGACCCAAGGCAGCGGCTGGTCATGAGCAGGGCGGCGCCACTGATGGGGATTTGGGTGCAGAGCCAGCCCCCCCCCCACCATTCCTGCCTGCAGGCGGCCAATATCCCTCTCCGCGGCCTCTGTGCTCCCGCCAGCACAAAGAAACGGGATGCCAGGTGCTGGGCTGGGGTGTCAGGGGTCTATCTTTGCAGCCCAGCGTGATGATGCTAATGCAGATACTCACCCCACTTTTTCTTAGAGAGAGACCAGTTTCTGAGGCCTGGCACGCCCTCCACTCTGCGGGAGTATCCCGGCTAAACTGTGTCCCTGGGTTAAGTCACTGACAATCTTCTGAAAGCACCTGGATCTTCTTGGGACCTTGCTGACTGCACTGTGTCCACCTGCTGATCCCGCTCCTAGGGCTCAGGAACACCTTGCCCTCCAGGCTGGCTGGGATTCATATATTCTGGAAGACCTAAGTGGCTGTGGAGTCTTTGCTGGGCCTGCAGGTGCAGCCTGTGGGAAGGGCGCTGGGCTGCAGAGAGAGCTGGGTCCCAGGCTCCCCTGTGCAGAGTGCTGGCATGGCTCTGAGTCCCTCCCTCCCCCCCGGCCTCCATCTGTGAGACGGGTGGCACTGAGGCCATATCTGAGGCCCTGTCCCTCCCGCTGCCATGCTCCGTCAGTGCCTCCAGAGCCCCCGTTCTCCAGCCGCAGGGCTCCCCCCAGGCAGAAGGGACCTTCTCCCCCTGCCCCTGCGGGAGACGCTCACAGGCTCTCCAGGGAAGGAGCGGGCCTTTCCCCTAGTCTGGTTCTAACTGGCCCAGGGGCGTGGAGCAGTGGGCTCTTCCCAGAGAGGTGCTTCGGGACCCAGGTGGTACACGGAGTCTTGCAGGGAGCCTAACAGGATAGAGGGAGTGAGGCAGGGGGGTGGGGTTGTTGCTCTTCCCTCTCCCTGTCCACCCTGGCCTCAGGGGTTCTGTTTGCGGGACAAGGGGAGTTTCTCTGGACTTTTGGGCTGGGGGTGTCACCAGGAAGAAGAGGGGCAAGAGCAGCTGTTAGGCAGACACCCCGACCAGGAGCGGCAGAGGGGACCCACATCCCCCTGCAGTGGGTGGTCGGGGTTGGGCCAAGGGACTCACTCTTCTGCGCTGTGCATTGTCTTCTAGCCTGTGGCAAGCTGACGGGCATCAGTGACCCCGTGACCGTCAAGACCTCTGGCTCAAGGTTCGGGTCCTGGATGACAGACCCTCTGGCCCCAGAAGGTGATAACAGGGTAAGTGCCCCTCCACCGGGCCTGGGTCTGAGGGTGCCGTGAGCCCCTCTGGGGCCATACCCCGAATGTCTGGCCCTCACTCCAATGCCCGTGTGCCCACCTACGCCAAAAACCACCCCAGCAGTTGTGGCTGGAACACAGCTGGGCGACCCTGGGGGTTTGTTCTCCCGGCAGCTCTGGGGAGGGTCTCAGGTCCTGGCCGACGTCCCTGTGCTAACACGGAGTCACAGACCACAGGGATGGGGCCCCATGTGGGAAGGATGGTGGCGATTGTCAGAGCAGGTGGACCCCTGCAAAGCCCTCCCAGGCTCCACTCTGCCTCCCTGGCTGGAGGGCAGGGGAGGGGAGCTCCCAGACACTCCCAACCCCACCCCTGCTCCAGGAGGAGCATCCTGTGAGGCCTTCCTTAATTTTAATGGCGTCTCATTTGTATTTCATTTGTTATTCTTTTCAACGCTGTTGGAAACCCATGTTCCTTTTTGATTTAGGGAAGAGGCCCTGTTCTTTTTTCCCAGACATTCCCCGCCCCCCCCCCCCCGGGGAAAAACTCAGAAAAGGAGAGAAAAGCAGGGCCTGGGTTGTGTCTTGTGAGCCCCTTTGGGGGTGTGGGGGTGAAGGGCAGCCGGCTGAGCGCCGGGACACCTGGACAGGGCTGTTCGGTGGCGTTGAGAGCCTCCAACAGAGGAAGACCCTCCTGGGGCTCTCAGGGAGGAGGGACACGTCTGGGCACGTGTCCTCTGGCGATGCGCCCACTTGCTGGCTACACCCCAGGGCGTGAACAAGCCAGAAGTCTGGGGCGACTCCTACCCACCCCCTGGCTTTCAGGGGCTGGCAGGACGCTTAGAAACTGATCACTTTTTAAAAAAATCTCTGCTCTTCATTCAGGCAGGGTTGAGAGGGGCTTCTGGGCCTTGTCTGGAGGACTCTTAACCTGAAGGGGAAGGTTGCTTCCTCTCCCTGGGGATTTCTGTTCTCTGCAGCTCCCCTTCCCCACTGCCACACCTGCCCCCCAGCAGGAAGCAGCATCTCTTGTATTTCGGAAGTGAGGTGGCCCCGCACTTTCTCCTGGGGAAGGTGGGTGGGGGGGCAGTGACCACAGGCCCTGTGGCGGGCGCCATCTGTCTATCCACCCTCCCACCCTCTCCCCAGAGCAGCTCACTCCAGCCTCGGCTGCAAAGGATTCTGGAGGGGCCGGCCCGGGACCTGGGACTGCAAACCTGGGATGGGAGTGCAGACAGGTGTTTGGGGGGTGGTTTCTGTTTTATTTTCTGAGTCGGGACAGTTAGCTGGTGCTTGCAAGTTCTCTGACAGTCTAAGGGGCTAATTGCAATCCTGATTGGTCTTCTGGTCCACATCGCCCGTGGTGAACCCCAGCTCTGTTCTGGGTTTGGTGACGGTGAGACTGCAGGGTTCGGCGCAGGCACAGCGGAGCCCCCTGTGTGCACGGTGATCCGTTCGTATGAGAGGTGCCGGTGGTAGCGCCAAGACCCCCGTCCCTGGCCCTCGGCGGCACGCTCTGCGTGCCTATCCTGGTTGGGTGTCCAGTGACCCCCTGGCCACCTGCCAGTCTGGAGGTCCCCTGCTTACCCCTGCTGTTTGATGAGAAAATCCTGGTCCAGTCTCGTGTGCACGGTCAGTGGTTTCACTGACAAGTGTCTACAGCAGGTGCCCCGAGTTGCCCCGTCCCCCTCTCCTGCCTGAAGTCTGCCTGCCTACCACACACGCCCCACACACCTGGGTCTGGGGGCTTGCGCCCGCACCTGACACTGCTCACATGCCTCTGGCCCCCTCTGTGGTATCGCCTTCCTTTGTTGTAAAGAGCGCTGCTCAAGAGATCCCCTTCTCAGATCCCAAGTATCGGGGCTCCTGGAAGCCCGGCTGTTTGCCCCGAACAGGGAGGGTATCGGTTTGCAAAGCTGTCGAGGGGTGGTGGATGCTCTTGATAACTGGAGGCCTGTTTTCTGCTTCATGACTGGAGTGGCCTCCAGAAAAGGAGGCCCCGGGGATGGACGGAACGTGCGGAGAGGTGGGGGCGGGGGGCTGCTGGTAAGGGGAGGGGGGCCGAGCTCATGGGCGGGGACACAGGGCAGCTCTGCCCCACGCCGTGTGGTTCGGGCCATTCCGAGTCATGCGCTCAGCACAGCCACCTCCAGCTCCCAGCCCGCTGAGGGACGTGCCCCGGGGCCCCGCCACTGATCTGGAGGAGAGCTGTTTTGTTTTGATCTTTTTCATTCTCCCCTTCCAGTTTGGTCACACACACAGGAAACCAGTACCTTGTTCTGAGGGGAAACAAAAATCCGTGTCAGCTTCGGGGCAGGCTGCCACGGGGGTGTGGTCAGCGGCGCGTGGCCAGAGGCCGGGGGCAGGGAACACTGCACAGGCGGTGCCGGGTGGGGGGTCCCGTCTGGGGGCTGCAGAGGAACAGGTACAGCTCACAGCTTCCCGACGCCTTTGCACTGAGCTGCTAGAACAAGGTTAGCTCGGGATGCCTTTGCACCCTTCCTTCCTTGACTCGCTTGTTAAGCACCAGCTGTGAGCCAGGCTCTACGCGGGACTCTCGTGCTCTTCCACTGTTGTCCAGAAGCTGCCTTCTCCCAGTGGTGACCGGTCCGCGTGCTTCTGATGGTGCTGGGGCTGTGGAAGCTCTCACCCCTGATGCCAGGCTGTGCCCACCCCCCCAGGAGACCCTCCTCTCTGACTCTGTCTGCAGTCCACGACACCTTCCCTCCTGTTGGCTGGCTTCAGCTGTAGACGTCCCAGGCCAGCTAGCATCAGCCCCTCCGTGTCTACGACTCTCCTCTTCTTAAGACACCACTCACTGTATTTAGGGCCCACCCTAATGCATCTTGAGATCCTTAATGACATCTGCAAAGCTCTCTTTTCCAAATAAGGTCACATTTACAGGTTCCTGGATGTGGACATATCTTTTGGGGGGGGCCACCAGTCACCCCACTACAAAATTGAGACCTCCCTGCCTGGGGGTAGAGGGGCTGTAGGAAACGCCCTCCAGGAAGTGAGTGTGATCAGTGGAGAGAGGGGGCGTTGCGGTGGGAGCAGCAGGTAGGGGGCACAGAGGTGTCTGAGAGCCAGGGACTTGGCCTGGCAGGTGCAGAGGCAGCCGGGTGCTGCAGGGAAGAGCCTGGAACTAAGGAGTCAGGTTTACAGAGGAGCGATGGTCTGGATTGCGGTTCTGGAAGATTCATTCAGGTGGCACCAGGCCCCGGGGCCAATAGGGAGCTGACAGCATAACCGAGGGCAAGGGGGCACAGGCTGCAAGCCAGAGGGTCCAGCTTTGCCTGCACATTGGAATCACCTGAAGCTTTAACCAACACGCATGCCTGGCTCTGTCCCTGGGGTCCGACGCAATTGTTCTGGGAAGTGAGTGTGCCCGGGGCTCAGAGGGCAACCAGGTTCCAGGCTGTAGGCGTCCAGATATGGGGGTTCTGGGCCAGGCCAGAGAGTCAGTGGGAGCCTCCTGGGGGTGATGGGATTCTGTGTGAGCCTTGGGACTTGGACGGGAGGGGAGGGAGAGGCATTCTGATCTGGAGATCATGGTGAACCCAGAGGGGGTGCCCCCTGGGAGGGAAGGGGCGCCTTATCTCAGGGCCCACTGGGGCTTGATGCTGTGCCTTCTTTGCATAGAGGGGCTTTTCAATGATGTCTTACAGCCGCCGGGCCAAGAGCTGGTCGTTAAACATTTAGTGCCTTGTGCTGGCTTTCCCTCCCAGCCTAAATTGCATTTTCCAAAAGCATTGTGCCCTGTGTCTGATTCGCTACTTTCCGGGAAGAAGAGGCAGTTTACAAATCTTGAGCAATTTGGTGACCATTTCACCCATCTCTGCCCACGGGAGGGAGGCACCGGACCCTGGGGTTCCCCAGGGTCACAGGCCCACTGGTGGGGGAGGAGATGTTTATGCACATTCAGGAGTGCTCTCCGTGCTGAGCGGGAGAGAGGCAGCCCCTGTGGGCATGGGTCAGGAGAGGGTTCCAAGGGGGGGGATGTTGGTTGAACCGGGTCTTGGAAGAAGCAGTGAGCTCCCTGTCTCAGGAGAGAGCCAAGTGCAGGCAGGAGGGCCAGTCCTTGGCAGTGTGATCATGGCCCCCAGGACCCCTGGCAGCCCAGCACTCGCCCGTTCCAATCTGAGACCCGCATCACTGTGGGTTGCTCTGCAGGGGGCTAAGGGTAATAAAAGCCTCAAATGAGACCCAACTTAAAAAAAAAAAATCTCATTAAAAACAAAAAGCGCATCTGCCTCTAAGCATCCAAATAGATGCCTCAGGAACAAGGTTAGGATTTTTTTTTTTTAATTTTTAACACGTGTAATGCTGTGTCTGAAAGCCCCGCATCCTTAATCTCTCCTGCAGCCAGCAGAACCCTGATGGATAAAGCAGCTGTCTTATTGCCAGACAGATGCACTGGGGATGGCATTAGCCCTGCAGATTTTCCTGAGTAACTGCATTGCTTTCTAATTTGCTCCCATATTGGTTGAAAATGACTAAAGCATTTTGTACAAAGTCTAGACAGTTTTCGAGTCAACTGGCATTTAAGCAATAATCAGCGATCTCTTCCTCTGTAACCCCAAACGTGGGCCACCACTGGGTTTGTTATCTTGGTGGCTTGTGACCCTTGGGGCCCTTCACGAAGCCCTCGTTCTTCTTGGAGAAGCAGCGTGGGGGTTGGGGGCGACCGTGATTCCACGTGTAGTGCTGCCTTTCTGCCTGGCAGACGGGATGCCCCAGTCCGGGCCGCTGTCCTGGTGCCCTTGACTCTGGGTCCCCACGCCACAGGAGCTGCCTGGGGCTGTGAGCGTTCTCCTCATCCAGTGCTGTCTTGCTGGCTTGGGGGTTCATATGCTGACAGAGTTCCTTCCTTCCCCAAATAAGCGGGAGCACCTGCTGTGTACCGGCCAGGGAGAGCGCAGTGAACCCCTAGCCTGGACGCAGCCCAAGCAGAGGGGACCGGGGGAGGTTCTGTTGCCGCCCACTTCCCTGACCTGCGGGGCTGGCTACAGCCCCAGACCCCCTTCCCAGAGTGTGCCTCCCCGTCCTTTGTCCTCACTGGACCCTTCTTTCCTGGCAGGACAGTCCTATCCCCTTTGACGAGTACCCTGGCGGTTTGGGGGAAGGACGTGATGTTGCCTGGTCTTCATTATCCTCCCCTGGTTCTTTCAGTTCCTTCTTGAGGCGCCGGGCCGCTGCAGAGTCAATTAGACTCTGAGTCTGAGCGGGGAGCCCCGCCCGTACCCCACAGAGCCGCTAACGTGTGGACGCTCCCTCTCTCCCTCTCTCTCCCCTCGCAGGTCTGGTACATGGACGGCTATCACAACAACCGCTTTGTCCGCGAGTACAAGTCCATGACCGACTTCATGACCACGGACAATTTCACGTCCCACCGCCTCCCGCACCCCTGGTCCGGCACAGGGCAGGTGGTCTACAACGGCTCCATCTACTTCAACAAGTTCCAAAGCCACATCGTCATCCGGTTCGACCTGAAGACGGAGACGATCCTCAAGACGCGCAGCCTGGACTACGCTGGTTACAACAACATGTACCACTACGCCTGGGGCGGCCACTCGGACATCGACCTCATGGTGGACGAGAACGGGCTGTGGGCTGTCTACGCCACCAACCAGAATGCCGGCAACATCGTGATCAGCAAGCTGGACCCCGTGTCCCTGCAGGTGCTGCAGACTTGGAACACCAGCTACCCCAAGCGCAGCGCCGGCGAGGCCTTCATCATCTGTGGGACTCTCTACGTCACCAATGGCTACTCGGGGGGCACCAAGGTCCACTACGCCTACCAGACCAACGCCTCGACCTACGAATACATCGACATCCCCTTCCAGAACAAGTACTCGCACATCTCCATGCTGGACTACAACCCCAAGGACCGTGCCCTGTACGCTTGGAACAACGGCCACCAGATCCTCTACAACGTCACCCTCTTCCATGTCATCCGGTCCGACGAGTTGTAGTTGTCTCTGCCCGGAAAGCCTGGGGGGCCGAGGCCTCCCCCACGCGGACATTCCTGCGGAAGAGCTGCCAAAATTACCGAACGATACTAATAATACTAATTTCAAAACAGCAGCTGCAGCGTGGGCTCCGGCACCGCGTGGTGGCGTCACCTCCGTGTGCTTCTGGTTCGAGCGAGAGGGCGACACACTTGGGAAGAGACCCCCCCCACCCCCATCTTTGCAGCTGGAACTGCAGTCCAGGGATCCCTGGTCCCCTACCCCACCCCCCGCCCGGCCCCCTTTCTGGTCAAATAACCCACAGAAGTAAGGCAACGACTGTTGGCCAGTTCTCGCCCGAGAACAACCACTGTTAGGTCGCATGGACATTTCCCCTAGATCGTGCTCAGCTCCCGTGGGCGTGCCTGCTGTGTGCCATCGAGGGCCCGCGGGCCGGCCGCGCTCGGCGTCCGTAGGGGCTGCATCGGCGAGTGTAACTCATCCATCACACCTGCTGTCTCTCGACCGCGTGTCGTGTCATAGCTGAGCCGCGCCGAGTCTCTGCGTCCCCATGGGCCCGTGTGCAGTGCCTGCCGCCGGCGGCCACGCGCATGGCATGGACAGCGGCAGCGCCCACTTGTTCGAGCTCGCGTCCCCCGTAGATCTGTTGTGCCGCGTCTGTCCGTCGTTTCCTTGAGGTGGTAGCTCTGTGTGTTCAGTTGATGCAATGAATGTTGTAAATGCCGTGCTGTAGTTTGGATTTAATAAGTGGATGGTTTTTGTTTCTAAAAAGAAAAAAAAATTCAGTGTTCACCCTTAGAAAGAGGTAATGAAGTTCATGTTGATAATAAAGGAATTGCTCTCTTCTTGTTAAATTATCTAAATAATGTAACCACGGATGGGAAGAGTTTATCTAGGGAAACTCTGTTTCCGCTGGGAAAGGGATGATCCTGAGGACAACCGTGCGTGGGGAGTACAGTTCAAAGTCAAAATGAGGGGAACTTTGTACCGTCCAGTTATCGAAGGAACAATAAAGATATTAGGAGATGTCTTTGCTTCACTTGTCATTTCTGAGGTTTTAAAGATGATGGGGCCTTGCAGAGCCCTGCGGATGTATCCCAGAGTCCAGGTGGGGCTCTCCCAAGAGTCCACATCTAGGACATGTTCTCCACCGGGTCCCTAACCCCCATCCCCCAGAAGTCAGAGGACCAGCCTGGGGCTCCACATCCCCTGGGGTGGACGCGAACCCGAGGCCGCATTCCCGGAACCCCACCTCATGCTGCCGTGGGGGTCTCCTCCAAGGGCACCTCTGGACGGGGTCTGAGACAGGCACCCACCGGAGATGCGGCAGGGGCACCCATGGAGAAGATGCTGACGGGTCAGCGGAGGTAAACCAGGCCCTCCCTGGCTGGCTGGCTCAGTGGGGCTGTGGTGGGTCTGAGAGGTCAGCAGCCGGCCCTCTCCGGGACGTGGGTCCCCAGGCCTTGCACACGGAGAACCTCGCTCATCCACAGGGCCAGGACCAGCTCACAGGCTGTGCCCTTCGATGAGGAGGTGGGTCCTGCCTCGAGCCTCCCCGCCCCAATCCTTTCCTGTTTTCTGGTTACTGCTGGCCCCTCAGCGTCCTTCTGCCGGGGAGCTCAGGGATACCCCTAACTGACATCAGGAGAGGAGGGGCGGGCAGGGGGAGGGCTGGGCCTTAATTAGAGCCTCGTTAGCTGGACATCCCCCATGAGCAAGACGGCTCTCCTGCCTCGGCAGGACAAGCTTGCAAGTAAAGCTTGTACAAGGGGGACACCAGTTCACACTTTTACGTTCTTACAAAATTTTCTCAGAGTGAGGGGTCCAAACTCTTCCCCCTGAGAGATGGGAGCTGGTTACTCGAGGAAAAGCCCCTGAGTTTCAGTAAAGCCACAGTTCCATCCACAAGGCCACCGGGGCCAGTGTGATGGGGACCCAGCCAAGCGCATCGGGCAGGGGCTGCCCTGTAATCGCAGCTCCGAGTTGGGCTGATTTCTTCCTGCTTCCCCCGAGTGACAGAGGGAAGTTCAAACGTGCAGGTAGATACCTGCTCTGAGTTCCAGAAAAAAAATAATGACCCCAGAGGTCCAGAATGGATTTGCTGTCTTGGACTGCATATTTGCTAGGGAAAATATGCCTCCAGGATATTAAATACACAAGAGAAATGGTTCCATCCGGAGAGCAAATAAAACAAGCGGCCAGCCACTAAATCTCCCGGATTCCAATAACTGGATATATTGGCTGATGGCAGAACATCTGTGGATGAATTTTCTTTATTAAAAGTCTGCCTTGGAATCAAACCCATGGTTCTTTGGGGGAAGCCGAGGCAGTCAGGGCACAAGGCACTCAGTTCTGAGTGTGGCTGGGCCTGGGGCTTTCCCCATTTCTGAAAGTCACCTCTGGAAGGAAGTTCGAGAGACTGTTGACCCCAAGCCCTGGTGTCCGTGGACCGTGCTGTGGCTCCTTCAGATCCCCAGAGCCTGTGCAGAACTTACACGAGGCCCCACGAGGAGCCCTTCTCCCTGCCCACGCCCTCACAGGCCAGCCGGAGGGGGGCAGCTGCTATGGGTGTGGTGGGCTCTTGGGAAGCACGGGGTCCCGTGCAGACCAGGCTGCATCTATGAGCAGGGCCCGAAATGAGGGGCAGTGGTGACTGCAGGGCACTGAGCACCAAAGACAGGTGGGAGATTATTGTTTTATTGGAACATTTAACTGAATTCCATTTGAAGGTTACAAGCAGTCGCTTGAGCAAAGACCATGTTAGGTGCCGACGGAGCACAGGTCCCGCCCCCACGCGCCCCTCCGCCTTCACAGCACCCCATAGAAGGGGCACCACTCCCTGTCCCCAGATCGGGGAACTCGGGCTCCAGAGGCCCAGCCATCTCTTGGGGCAGCTGAGCTTCCAACCCATGAAATAGCGTCCACGACCACACGACGGCACCGGTCGACACGGAGAGGCATCAGAACGCTCCGGACACTTGCAGGCCACTGGAGGCAGTGAGTGGATGCATGCGTGGGGCTGAGCCAGGGATGGTGAGCGGTTCCTCAGTGCTCATGGGGGGAATGAGCCCCCACGATGCAGCTGCCCGAGGCTGGAGCAGGATTTAGGTCATCTCCTTGCCCAGCCACCTGTGTTGGCATGGTCCAGAGAGACGTGGCAGCTTGACCAGGAGGAAGTGGTCGTGGGACCTTCCATGCCACAAGGAGTGAGCCTGGATTCCTGGGCGTACTGGAAGGGGCTGCCTGGGGCCTGAGGAACCCGGGAGCCGGATGGTCTATCTGACGCTGAGCAGAGCCTTCTCTTTGTGAAGGGGCACGGCAGACCTGCTCACCATCAGATAAGATGTCTCTTCCTTGGTGACCCAGACCTGCAGTATTGAGGAGAACAATCTCTTTTGGTTTCCTGAATAAATTGTTTCCAAAGGGGTCTCCTGTAGCAAGATTGTGCTTTAAGAAATCCACTGTTAGACATTGTTCTCACAGGCTATGAGAGTGACATATGGAGTCCTTCGAAGCCAATAGCAAGGAGAGGCATCGACTGGTGGTCGCACCCCACTCTTCTTGTGCAAAAGGCACCCCACTTGTATATGACCCTGCATCTTGCTGTCCTCACGTAGCAACTCTTTCTAAAGGTGACATTGGTAGCACAACCAGCACCTTGCTTCTTAGCACTGAAGCATGGCGTCCCCTTATACTGAGACCCTCGGTGCTTTGGGCTTTCTGGAGTATGAACCACGTGTCCCACTTTATCTTTTTCCAACAGATAAACGGTCTCATTTTCCCCCTTGAATCCTATGCTGAGTGTCCCATACACTCGGGTCTCTTTCTGGAATTTTCTCTTACTGAGCCTTGTTGGATGCTGTCACTGGAAATCCTAAGCTAAGGCCCAAGGGTTCGCTTACATAGCTTGGGTGGGGTTTCGCTGTATTAATATCCATGACTTCTTGGACATAGGCGCGTATGCCATGGTTTTTTAAAGGGGTCTCTGAAAGGCTCATGTGCGGGGACACCTAATCCCTGTGACGGTGAAGTCACTGGGGGCAGTTCCTCAATCCGAGTGGGATTTCTGCCTCACCAGTTTCGTTGGATCTGCAAGGATTAAAGCAGTTTCGGGGTGATGTGACTCTGAAGCAATTATTTGCTGTTCTAAACAAGGTGCCTGAATCCAGAGATCTGGCCGGGACTCAGAGCAAAGTGAGGTTCTGTCTTCTGATGGATCTGTGGGAAAATCCCTCATCCTACGTGGTGCTGCATTACCTCCATTTTGCAGAAGCTGACCCAGGGAGAGGAATCAACAGCAGAACCTGCTGCCAAGGGGCAGGCTGGCCCTGAACCCGGGACCTCCGGGCCACGTGCTCTGCTCTTCCCGCGCTAGGCTGGCCCACGGACGCACACAGCACATCCTCCAGCTGGTGAGTTGCCCGAAGCTCATTCATCACACGGCAGGCAGTGGAAGGTGCCAGAACGGAGTGCCTGGCAAGGATCCAGGCTGGTCCTCCGGCCCCGGGTGCTGGTGAGTCGCTGCTGCTGGACGCGGAGCAGGGCAGCGGAGGGAAGGGAGGCCCTGGAAGCCCAGAGACTGGTGTCTGTTTCTGCTCCCCCTTGTTGCGGGGAGGCTGGTGGGGGTTGGGGGGCGGGCAGGACCTTCCTTTGTGTACACATACACACACACACACATATACACACAGACGCATACGCAGACACATACATACATGTGTATGCACACGTGCACACACATGCACATGTGTACACATGCACACACACATACATATACACGCAGACACACACGCAGACACATGCATGCACGCACCTGCACACACACACATGCACACACAAGCACATGTGTACACATGCACGCACCTGCACACACACATACACACAGGTGCATATGCAGACACGCACACACACATATACACACAGACGCATGCGCAGACACACGCACACACATACACACACGTGCATGCACACACATGCACACACATGCACACACACATGCACCTGCATACATACATATACACAGAGATGCACATGTGTACACATGCATGCACACACATATACACACGCACACACATGCACAAACACACACACGCACATACATGCGTGCACATACATACATATACACACATGAACATGTGTACACATGCATGCAAATACCTGCACACAATGCACACATTCGTGCACACACATACATGCACGCACGTGGATACAT